AGTTGGACTATGAAGAAAGCTGAGTGCAGAAGAATTGATGCTTTTGAACTGTGGTGTTGGAGAAGACTCTTGAGAGTCCCTTGGACTGCAAGGAGATCCAACCAGTCCATCCTAAAGGGAATCAGCATCCTACTGCTGCTGGCTGGAATACACAATAAAGAGAAAGAAATTTTAAAAATCCAATGAAATGCTAACCTTATCACCAAACAGTTCTAGGGAGAAGAAGCGTGAGCAGGAAAGAAGTGTGAATGTTTCCATTTCTGGGGCCATCTGGGGCACAGGAGAGACCCCACTTTCAATCTTCATGTCAACATGTGTTATTTCTTCCTCGAGAGAAACAAAATGGAATAATCCAGCATCACCGGGTAGAAGAGCTCACAAGTGCAAGAGCCAGGGCTGGCTGCCGGCCCCTGGCCCTTGGTGATGGGATCCGCCCACCTTCCCCCCCTTCCCCTGCCTCCCACCAGCTCATTTCAGCTCCCCTGGGCCTGAAAGACCCCAGCCCTGCCATAGCTGGAGTGGAACTGTCAGTCCCCCCATTTAAAATCCATCTGTGAAAGGCTCATAAATCACACCCTCGGAAAACTCACTCCTCATTATAACTCAGCAGAGAACAGCTCTGTTCAGAGATTTAAATAAATATGAGCACATAGTAAGTTGGTTGTTTTTTCAGCGGGAGGTTCTATGTAAGGGGATTTTTGCATCATATTCTTTCAGCTGTTCATGTTAATAGAGCCAGGAATAATGACAGGCCTGTCTCCACATGCAGCCATCCCTATTGTCAGATTAAGCAAATGGCCATTGAATATTTAATGCAATTTCAGGGGAGCCAAAAAGGTTCCCCAATAACTCTCCCTTCTGACCTTGCAAAACAGCTCTGTCAATGTCCCAGGTTCTACAGTCAGAGCTTCCTTATTCTGGGCTTCCCTTGTGGCTCAACTGGTAAAGAATCCGCCTACAGTGTGCGAGACCTGGGTTCCATCCCTGGGTTGGGAAGATCCCCCAGAGAAGGGAAAGGCTACCCACTCCAGTATCCTGACCTGGAGAATGCCATGGACTGTATAGACCCTGGGGTCACAAAGAGTCAGACACAACAGAGCGACTTTCACTTTCACTTTTCTTTGGACCTGCCCCTGGTCAAAACTGATACCATGGGACTTCCCTGATGGTCCAGTGGTTAAGATTCTGCCCTTCCAATGCAGTGGCTGCAGGTCTGATCCCTGGTTGGGAAACTAAGGTCCCGTGGCATGAGCAAATTAAAAAAAACAAAAACACCGATATGACTAGAAGGGGCCATATGCTTTTTTTATCTGGCTGCACCAGGTCTTAGTTGCAGCATGTGGGATCTCGTTCCCTGAGCAGGCATTGAACCTAGGCTCCCTGCATTAGGAGCTCAGTCTTAGCCACTGGACCACAAGGGGAGTCGCCGGGGCCACGTTATTTAGCAGGGTTCACGTACACATTTATCCTAGCATTTTCTCAGAGCAAGGGTTATGGTGGCCGTGTAGGATAATCCACTGGGTGGACAGGGAGCCACGATGGAGCGGAAGGTGAAGAATCAAATGCAAGGCTGAATCCCAGAGGAGGTCCCTGTGATTCTAATTTCATACTTGAATGTATGAAGTACCTACCTTGTGTCCAGGGAGATGTTCCATCCTCATGACCACCTGTGGGGTAGAGACCAAGGCTCTTCCATTTATGAGAAGCATGGGGTGTAAGTCCATGCTTTCCCACCTAAAGTGACACCCAACAAGTTACCAAGGTGTATATTCCTTGTTAAGGTAAGTTCTACAAAAGAACAGTCTCCACACCCTGAGCAAGTAGGTGCTTTGGGGATGACCTGCTTCACAAGATCTATTCACAAAAATAGACAGAGGCACACACAAAGGAACGCTGAATCTAATAGGGGGAAGGGAAGAAAAGAGGGAACTGGGGGTCTCCAGTTTTCCGTGACCAGAAGCTGAGCAGGAATCACCAAGAACGAGGACAGGATTGGGCAGGAGCTGGCTGGAAGTCCAGGAGGGAGGCAGGGCTGGTGTAACCAGGGATCTGAGTGGCGGAAACTGGCCTGAACCACGGCAACAGGGAGCGGGTGGGGCTGTCCTGAGGTAGGGTGTGTGTGTGTGTGTGTGTGTGTGTATTTAGTCAGGTCCAACTCTTTGCGACCCCATGAACAGTAGCCCGCCAGGCTCCTCCATCCATGGGATCTTCCAGGTAAGAACACTGAAGCAGGTTGCCATCTCCTTCTCCAGGGGATCTTCCCAACCCAAGGATCAAACCAGCATCTCCTGCATTGGCAGGCAGATTCTTTACCACTCAACCAGCTGGGAAGCCCCAGAGAGGGACCCAAATCTGAGATTCTCACCCCCAAAAAACTTTGAATAATCCCAAGGTGAACTGTATGGACAAGTGGGGGCTTCCCCATCTATTGGTAAAAGCAGGGGTAGATCCTCTTTGGAGGGAAGGCTTCTCAGGTTAATTTGCAGGAATCCTACAAATTAAAATGCAGCACAAACAAAATCACAAATATTTGCAAAGGCAAAGTCCCTATGAACAGAAGCTAACAGAAACAAGAAACAACAGCTGTAGTCCCCAAGGACTACAGCTGTTTCTATTAAAGAAAGGATACACTTATAATTTATGAAGAAACAACAGGACAACATTAGATATCAGTTGATAGAATCAGAGAAAAACACACAGAACTTTTGAAATTAATAACATAACTGATGGATAAAAAACTAAACTCAGTGGGTGTGTTAAACAGTAGATCACACTGTTAAAGAGAGAATTCATGAACTGGAAAATATATCTGAATAAATTTTCTAGAATACAGCAGCGAGAGAGGGATAAAGATATGAAAAAGTATAAAAGAGATAGAAAAAGAACAAGATCTAGCACAGAGCTTGGCACACTATGGCCTGTGTGTCAAATCCAGCTGGCCACCTGTTTTTAATAAATAAAGTTTTAATGGCACCACCACATTCATTTGATTGTGTGTTGCCTATGGCTTTTTTCACAATACAAAAGAGCTGTGTATTGGAGACAAAGATCATATGGCCTCCAAAGCCTAAAATATTTACTCAATGGCCTTTTACAGAAAAAAACTTACCCCTGGACTAGTACATACATGATTGGGAACCCAGGAGGAAAATATAAAGAAGACAGAAGAGAGGTAATATTTTTAAATATAATGACTACATTTTCCAGAACTGTTTAAAACATGTAGCCACATCGCCAGAAAGTACAATATATTCCAAGTAGGATAATTAAAAAGACTCATGTTAGCAGGATGGATTGAACTGTGTCCCTTAAAGATTCATCCAAGTCCTCAACCTCAATACCTGTGAACGTGACCTTATTTGGAAACGGGGTCTCTGCAAACGCAGTCAGGTTAAGGATCTTGAATGACATCATCCTGACTTTGAGATGGGTGCTAAATTCAATTGCTAAGTGTCCTTTTACAAGGAAAAAGGAGAAAGAGAGAGAAGGGAAGGGTACTAGCTGGCTCAGTGGTAAAGAGTCCATCTGGAATACAGGAGATGCAGGAGATGTGAGTTTGAGCCCTGGGTTGAGGAGATCCTCTGGGGGAGGAAATGGCAACCCACTCCAGTATTCTTGCCTGGAAAATCCCATGGACAGAGGAGCCTGGTGGGTTACAGTCGATGGAATCACAGAGTCAGACACAACTGAGCACATGCACGCACACACACACACACACACACACAAGCATTGATACAGACGCCGGGAAGGCCGTGTGAAGACAGAGGCAGAGACTAGAATGATGCAGCCACAAGCCAAGGGATGCCTGGAGACATCTGAAACTGGACAGAACAAGGGAAGAGCCCTCTCTAGAGCCTTAGGAGGGAGTGCAGCTCTGCCCACACCTTGATTTTGGATTCCGTCCTTCAGAACTATGAGAAAATACATTTTTGTTGTTTCAAGCCACCAAGTTTCTGGTCATTTGTTATGGCAGTCCCTGGCAACTAACACAGATTTTGTTTAGTATGGAAGAATAAAGGTGACTCCAAGTTGGTTGGCATTCTCCACACCAAGAGATGATATTTACCTCCCCTCTTCTTGAATCTGTGCATTGGCCTATGACTGTCTTAACCAAAAGAATATGGCAGGAGACTTCAGAAACCCTGGCAGATTTTGCTTTTATGCTTCTGGGATCCTTGAGCTGCCTCGTGAGAAGTGAAGCCACCTGCTAAGAAGAGCCCATGGGAAAGCCAGAGGAGAGAGAAGGGGGCCCCGGGACTTGACGGAGAAAGAAAGAAAGGCCCTGCTCTCCGGCATTCCAGCCAGCCCAGCTGTCTAGATGTCCCTGCCACCCAACACTTTGGAGATGGCTTCTTGCTTTCTCTCCCTCCTCTCCCCTTCCACAAGCCTTGTTCTCAGACTGAGAGCCTCTCATGCCTTCTCAACCCCTAGGAACTTCCCCAGAGAAAGTCCTGCCCAGGGGATCCTGTCACAGGTAAGTGAGACGTCTCGGTTGTCCCAGCCCAGTCAAGCACCAAGAGGACTGCAGTCCCAGACAGCAGAAGAACCACCCAGCTGATCCCAGTCACTTCACAGAATCACAAGCAGATGAGGCATTGACAAACTTGAGAAAGAGATGTCCCTATAGATATAGGCACTGCAGGCAAAACAAAGCAGAGATGAATGGCTGGTTCTTCATTCCTGTTCTCAGTAGATGAACTTATAATAATAAACTCTTAGACATGAGTGAGTAGGAAATTTACAGGCAAAGCTAACTCTTGGGTCTTAGTATCGTATGACTGTAGTTTTGTTAACCATAAACAAGGAGTGGTTTACTATCATTCACCTCTTTTATATCTATGTAGATAAAACTACTAATTAAATAAAACTAAACCAACCCAGACAGCATATTAAAAAGCAGAGACATTACTTCGCTGATAAAGTTTCATCTAGTCAAAGCTATGGTTTCTCCAGTAGTCATGTATGGATGTGAGAGTCAGACTATAAAGAAAACTGAGCGCCAAAGAATTGATACTTTTGAACTGTGGTGTTGGAGAAGACTGCTGAGAGTCCCTTGGACTGCAAGGAGGTCCAACCAGTCCATCCTAAAGAAAATCAGTCCTGAATATTCATTGGAAGAAGACTGCTGAGAGTCCCTTGGACTGCAAGGAGGTCCAACCAGTCCATCCTAAAGGAAATCAGTCCTGAATATTCATTGGAAGGACTGACACTGAAACTCCAATACTTTGGCCACCTGATGTGAAGAACTCACTCATTGGAAAAGACCCTGATGCTGGAAAAGACTGAAGGTGGGAGGAGAAGGGGACGACAGAGGATGAGATGTTTGGATGGCATGACTGGCTCAATGGACATGACTGTGAGCAAGCTCTGGGAATTGGTGATGGACAGGGAAGCCCAGCATGCTTCAGTCCATGGCGTCACAAAGAGTTGGAAGCAACTGAACTAAATGAAACTCCAAATGAATAAATACTGAATTTTAAAAAATTAGTAAAACAAACTCACGTGGTTAAATATGTACCTCAGGACCAGAAACCTGACCACCAGGTGGAACTGTAGAAGCAAAATGGCATCTCACTTTGGGTAATCATACACACTTCATCTCATAGTCAGAAAGGAAAAAACACATTGTACCTGAGACAAACAAACAAAACAGGATCAGGAAAATAAAAGAAATCTTGAGCCTTTCCTGTAAGTTACTAGCTCCCTAGCAAAAGCAACTTTCTTCCAGACTTCTGCAATCCTCCTGCTTGGAGATTTGTCAGGACCTTTGTGAATATGATAATCATGTGATAAATTTGCTATTTTTCTGCCATGCACAGACCAACTGTAATCTCGGTAACCTTGGTAACTTTGAGAATATTTTTACCTTTAGATACATGTATTTTTTTTTTTTTTGATGATCTAATCCTTCTAGCCCGTGAAGATTCTTAACAGATCTTTTTCAAGTACACTTCTTTTCTAAATACTTTTGTCTCCAAATCTTCCATTTGTGGAGTCCCCAGACTCAGGCAAAGCAGGCAGAGCAGAAGGTGAGAGCAGAAACCTGGATGGAAAATAGAAGAATTAAGTGAACATCTATTTGTTGAACAGCTGTCTCTCCCACTGAAGTTCCCAGAACACTGGAATGAGGTGTATTTTCCCTCATTTCTTTCCCAGGTAAGAAATGGGAGGATTTGAGCAAAAAAGAAACTAAATGACCCCAGTTAGAACAATTATGGGCCTTCCCTGGCAGCTCAGCTGGTAAAGAATCCACCTGCAATGCAGGAGACCCCGGTTTGATTCCTTTTGTTTGTTTGCTTTGCTTTCTGTTTTTGTTGTATGTTCCATCTTTGTCTTATCATTGACACTGTCCTCTAACGTCATGTTACAGACTTTTTTTTTTCTAGCATTCTAACATGACATGGCCTCTAAAGTGATAGGTAGAAAACAAATGAACTGGGGGGGTGGGGGAGAGATATATGTGGGAAGCAGACTCAGACAGTAAGCAGTGTACACCCAAATTCCAAGAACTTCAGTGAGTGACCTTATCTGGACATGTAAGTAGTTAGTTTATCCTGAGATGAAATTATCCTGATTCAGTGTTAGTGTTAGTCACTCAGTTGTGTGTGACTCTTTGTGACCCCGAGGACTGTAGCCCACCAGGCTCCTCTGTCCACGGGATTCCCCAGGCAAGAATACTGGAGTGGGTAGCCATTCCCTTCTCCAGGGGATCTTCCCAATCCAGGGATCGAACCCAGGTCTCCGGCATTGCAAGCAGATTCTTTACTTCCTGAGTCACCAGGGAAGCCCATTCAGATTCAGAGTGGGCCCTAAATTCCATGACCGGCCTCCTTATAGGAAGAGAGGAGGACACAGAAACACACAGGAAGAGACCCTGTGAGAATGGAACCAGAGATCAGAGTGTTGCAGCTACAAACCCAGGAATGCTTGCGGCCACCAGAAGATGGAAGAGGCATGGAAGGATGCTTCCTGAGAGCTTTCAGAGGGAGCATGGCCCTCATGACACCTTGATTCCTGATCTCCAGAACTGTGGGGGAATACACTTATATCGTTTTTAAGCCACCAAGTTTGTGGTAATTTGTTACAGCAATGCTAGGAAACTAATGCAAACCATGCTGCTAGAGATGCAAAAAATGAGAATCCCAGGCCTGCCAGAGAGGCTTTATGAGGCTCAGGATTGAGAAAAGTTTTCAACTGAGACCTCAGGTCTATACCTTGAGAGAAAGGGAAATCAGATTTAGTCTGAACACTGGACCAAATCGCAAGCATGAACAATGCAAAAAACAGGCGCATATGAAACACGTGGAGCTCACTGTAAAGATCTAACATAGGTATAACTGGAGTGGGGACAAGATGATGGAGAGGATAAAGAGAAGTGGTATTTGAAGATAGACTACTGAGAATTTTCTAAAATGGCAAGAGACATCAAACCACAGAGTCAAGCACGATAAATAACTACAACAAAAAAATGTATTTCTAGGCAAATCAGTAAAACTAATGGAAACCAAAGACAATGCCTTCTATTAGCCACTGATGATGAGGTGACCTTTGACGAGATCCATAATTTCATCAGAGGTTTACAACATGACGTATCCTAATTCTATCCTGCCTCCTTTTATAGACAGTATAGTCAAATACTTTTACAGAGAGACAGATGTCCCCCTGTTACCTGTTTGCTTACCTCAGATGTATTTATACTGTTGTATTTTGGCACCTCATCCATGTCCTTTATTATCATTTTTTTTCCTTCACGATTGGGTCCACAGTTGGGCAGTTTGATTTCTTGGAGTATCTGGTTGAATCTAAAGACCCACACTTTCACAGCATCTAATGATTCCTTTCTAATACATTGCATTCAATGAAGTCTATGATCCTCTTTCTCCATTTTCTACTGACTTTCCAAAATTAATTAGGGAGGGATGCAAAAAAAAATACTCAAAGAATTCGACAAAGCCCACTGAACAAGCAGTGAACACAACCCACTGAAACTATTCTGTGGATCAGCAGGGACCACCACCAGGCAAAAGCTCAGAAAGCTCTCTCATCAGCTGATGCACCTGAGGCCCGGTATGATGGGTTACATACAGTGTGGAAGTAGACGGTGCACAAAGTCAAACGCATGAATCTGTGCTCAGCTAGAGAGTCCTATCCCCAGGGACCCCAGGACAGCTGCAATTGGCAGCTGAGATATTATTTCTCCAGAAGCACAAGCCTCTCTCCTCAATATGAAAGTCCTCATTTCCTACCAGGACTCAAGTAGTAAAATGGGGCAGACACGGAAACCCCTGCGGATATTCACTTCCTCGTTCCAAGTAATTGACATTCAACCTATGTATCTTTCAACTCAGAGTATGTAGGGACACGCGAGCATTTTATTTTATGGTTATATCTATAGCCTTTTAGCATTTGACGCTGTGAGTTGAACTCATGTTTAATGCATAAACTCAGGGAAAATCTGATTGATAGGATAGATTGCTAATAGATTTAAGGAATCGTTTATAGTTATCAGGCTAGACTCAGAAGAGTGGAAACTCTCTCCAAATAAATGAATAAGTAGCAAGTCCTTTACAAACTGAATAACTCAGCAAGTACTCGACAGGAAAGGAAAGCTCTCCGAGTGAGTAATCTTGGCTTTCGCTCATGCTCCTCCTGACCCATTAAATTATACAAGGGCATCAGTCATTGAAAGCTAAAATTAACACCTACGGGTCCTGCCAGAGAGCTCTGATATCTCCAGTGGGAACTTTCCATGCGCTTGTGACAGACCAACAGCCATTGGTGTTGCCATGGGGAAAAAAATAAGAATTGAGTTTCCTGCCTTGGTTTTTCCTGCAACTGCCAAGTGGGCAGTCTGCTTGGCCTTCGGCAATAACTCTGCTCTGGTAACACTGACTCAACAAGTATTTACTGGCCATCTACTGCAAAACCAGTGCAATGCTGGGGGCCAGGGGTAAAGAGGGGCACAGGACGGACAGAGCATGCACCCCAGGTCCAGGACACCTGAGCCCCTCAACCAGCCCCAGTACTCGTTTGCCACATGGTTCAGGCAGAACCTAGGCACTGGAAGAGTTCCCGGTGAAAGTCACACTCCACACCGAGTGAGTAAGAGCTGGACTAAACCCCAGCTCTGTCCCTTACCAGCTGTGTGGCCTGTCTCTGTGGTCATTTAGAAACAGCCAGAAAGGCAGAAGTAGTTAGGATGGCTGAGTTAAAAGGGTGATCTGATTATAATTTCTGCCTGCTTATAATTTCTCTTCTTCTTTAATCAGAGAGTAATTTTCATATAGCTAAATATTATATGCAAGTTTTAAGTACGCAGCTTGATGAATTTTTCACATGAATCTCATGTAACCACCACCCAGATCAAGATACAGAACCTTCCCAACGCCCAGGAGATAAAATTTCTATAGGGAAAATGCCAAAAGTCAAATCTCAGGACCTCTGTTAAGTCACCACAATCAGTGCTACCAACCACAGGGCTGTTTTCTGACTAGTCGTTGTTTAGCCACTCAGTCATGTCCACTGCTTTTGCACTCCCACGGACTGTAGCCTGACTATGGGATTTCCCAGGCAAGAACAGAGATGAGCTTATAGTCTTATCTTTCTGGTGACCAAGAGCACGAAGTATAAACTAGTCTGCTGGACATAAGGGTACAGATGAAGCCTATAAATGTGTCTTGGAACAGTCTGAATGTGTACTGACCTAACTGGCCAATACAAGGATGAAATCTGTAATCTTGCCTTTTCCTTAAAACCAAACTCAAATGCAGTAGTTACCCAGGCCAGATTCTCCTTGCTAAAAAATTTACAAAATATTGCTTCCCTCACAGCTCAGTTGGTAAAGAATCCACCTGCAATGCAGAAGACCCCAGTTCAATTCCTGGGTCGAGAAGATCCCCTGGAGAAGGGATAGGCTACCCACTCCAGTATTCTTGGGCTCCCCTGGTGGCTCAGCTGGTAAAGAATCTGCCTGCAACACAGGAGGCCTGGTTTGGATCCATGTGTTGGGAAGATCCCCTGCAGAAGGGAAAGCTACCCACTCCAGTATTCTGGCCTGGAGAATTCCATGGACTCTATAGTCCATGGGGTTGCAAAGAGTCAGACACCACTGAGCGACTTTCACTTTCAAAATTGTTACAGGAACAAAATAAAAGTTGGAGGGACATTATTCATCATGGTCAAAAGGTGGAAACAAAACACATGATCATCAACAAGCAGATAAAGAAAATGTGGACTTCCTGGGTAGTCCAGTGGCTAAGCCTCCATCCTCCCATGCAGGGGGCCTGAGTTTGATCCCTGGTCAGGGAACTAGATCCCATGTGCTGCAACTAAGAGTTCAGATGCTGCAACTAATAGAGTCTGCATGCCACAACTTCAGATCCCACATGCAGCAACAAAGACTGAAGATTCCAAGTGCCAAAAATAAGACCTGGTACAGTCAAATAAAATATTTTTTAAAAAGAAAATGTGTTCCCCATTCATGGCTGATTCATGTCAATGTATGGCAAAAACTACTACAATATTGTAATTAGCCTCCAACTAATAAAAATAAATGGAAAAAACAAATTTAAAAAAATAAATTAAAAAAAAAAGAAAATGTGGTATATCCACACAATGGAATATTATTTGGCCATAAAAAAGGAATGAAGTCCTGACACATGCTACAACATAGATGACCTGTGAAAACATCATGCTAAGTGGAAGAAGCCAAACACATAAGACCACATACTGTAGAATTCTATTCATGTGGAAGTATAGAATAGAGAAATGCAGAGACACAAAGTAGGTTAGTGGTTGCTTTGGGCTAGTGGTAGGGGTGGGAGAATTGGGAGTTAATAGCTAGTGGGGTTTCTTTTGGAGGTGATAAAAATGTTCTAAAACTGACTTCTGAGGATGATTGCACATATATGTGGATATATACTAGAAAACATTGAATTGTACACTTCAAATGGGTGAATCATATGGTTTTGCTGTTGTTCGGTCACTAAGTCAAGTCATGTCCAGTTCTTTGTGACTCCAAGGACTGCAGCACACCAGTCTCCTCTGTCCTCCACTCTCTCCCAGAGTTTGCTCAAATGCATGT